ATGTGTTAAAGGACCGTGTTGTCCTTCAGTTACTCTTTAAACCTATGGATGATATGGGAAGTAGACAAAAATTTCATACGGGTTTTGAGCAGCTGGATTGTCGTCTTTGTTTTCTAACACATTTACCAAGCCAACCTGATGTAAGAAATGCCCCTTAGTCTAATGGGAAGCTGCAAAAATGTTTAAGTTGTAAATGAGGATGATACATTGCAGCAAAAAGCGTTGTGCAAAGCTGACAGCATACCAGTTTTATCACTGGCTTTGCCTTACCAGTTGTGGCACAAGTGAGGGGTTGTCAGAAGAGATGGGAGTTGCCAAGAATACTTAATTCTCACTCATTTTCTTCTGATCGAGACCCATGCAGTGAAGAAGGGAGAGGGGTGATGCCTGAAAAACAAGTACTCTTGAGTCCTAAGAAGTGTGGACTCATCCTCCTATCCTGTGGATTGATTTTTGTGGTTAGAGAAAGATACAAGTGCTGTACCTCCATTAAAATACATCTCCAAGCAAAATGCATTCAACAGCATAAATAATTAAACACCATAAACAAATGACAAATAAAACAGCCTAATAGCAGAGGATGTAGGACACTTGTACTGCATTAAAATAGATCAGGACCGAAGTGACTGAATTATGCTTTGTCAGGAGTAGAGGGATATCAATATTGTGAGGTAAACTCTAACCAATCCAGATGCCACAGACTAAATTCTCCTGCCAAGGACTGTTCCTCTGTGTCTCAAGTAGTGTCTAGAAAGTGGAGAAAATTGCATTGAGGATGCTCCTAAGCTGCTCTCAAATTTTGTCTGTGCTATCTGCAGCATATCTGTCCAGTCCCACAGTAATTTACACTGATGGACATTGCTCAGGAGTCTTTTAATACCGTTTTACTTCCATGAGGTCATACTCCCTGGAATGGGCTTGCCAAAGGATGTTGAGTTTTCCATCAGTCCAGTCACATTTTACCACATTAAAACACATTTGTCCAGGCAGATGGAGCTGTAGATGTATGTAGATGACTTCTGCAGTCTAAGACTGATGCAACTTCATTAATGGAAAAGCAGCTTCACCTGTGAAGAATGTTTTTTTCCCAGAGCTCCCAGTCAATCTCCTCTGTTATTAAAAAGCTCCCATTGACTTAATGGCTGGCATCATGTTTGGAACTTGGTGAAATTTTAGACTGTCCATGCACACCCCTTCCCCACCAGGCCCAATTTTAGGTGTGTTGCAAGGAGGATGAGGAGACTGGGGGAGAAGAAATATGGTAAAATGATGGGTACAATAAATGAGGTTAAAGTTAATTCCTTTGTTGCATGTGGTGTTGTGAGGGCCGTTTTTTAAATTTGTTCAGTGAAGCAAGATGTGCTTAATATTTTTTTCTGATCCTGAAGTTGACTCAGGAAAGTGCCACTGAGGCAGGGATGTCCCCGCAGTACCTTTGAGCGACTGAGCAGCTGAACTAGAAAACCAGCCTGCCCCCGCTTCCTGACCTTGGCCCCGTGTTCCCATCCTCAACGTTTTGCCTGCCACCGTGTGGTAAAATTATGCAAGAATTTCTTTTTTAATTTGCAATTGTTTAAATCAGCATGTCACCATTTGAGGACCTGGACCATTCCACCCGCTGGTGAACTCCTGTTATTAATGAATGATGTACCGTTCTTAGGTTTTGTTCTCCAAAATACGCAGAGCAGGTGGTGCCATTTCCCTTTGCCTCTTGCCCGATGATGTCTCCCAACACAACAGAAAAGCCTCACGTGCTCAGTTGAGGAGCTGGAGGTCATTCTTGGTTGATTTATTGGTGCACAGTTCTGTTTATTCACATGACTAGGCTGACGTGAAGATGGATGTTATGTCCTGTTTGTGTCAGTTTGGCATATTAAAACTTTGTGGCGGGACCCGTTACAACAGGAAGATTGAAAATTCCCAATCTATCACTTTGAAGAAAGAGGATCCTTATCCACAGGACATAACTGCCTGGAGACACCAGTTAGTGGGAGCAGTAGAAACTGAGATTTGCTGCACTTCCAATCATCAGAGCAATTGTTTTACTGCTGATTTAATGACCGAAGTTAATATTACCCTTATTTTATGCCCATCAAAACACCATCAAGTGTGATTGTTCATGTATGTTTGTTCTTTTAGTTTTATACCATTGATTTGTTTTTCTTTTCCCCTCTCTTGAGAAGCAACAATTACATGATTTGTATTTATATACATGATGGGTCAAGATTCACAGGGAGAGGCAGCACTTCTTTAGTCGAAAAACAGGCAAAATTTTAGGTATGCAGTCTTTTCAGGACCGATGTCGGTAAAAATCTTACAAAACTAAATATTAATTGAAAAAAATAGTTCCAAGTTTAATATATCATTCACTTAAATTATTTAAGAGATTAAGGGGTTGGTACATGTGGAACAGAAAGGAAGTGCTGGCAAGAAGAAAGGTGATGATATAATTAACCCCTAGGAGATAGAGAGACAGGGAGTGGGAGAAGTATGGAAATTGTAATTTGCCATAAAACCAATCTCTCTGCTGAGTGCTGTAATTATAATATCCAGTAATTATGAGTGTTAAATTCTTAAGCTCAGGATCAGGACTTAAGAGGTCACAGATGAAGTGGTTATTTTTGTAAAAAATCATCTCCTTTATTAATTTTCTGTAGAAGTACACACTGGTGAACAAGTTTGATGTTTTCCCCTACAAATTATACAAAAGTATTTAAAATTGTGTCACAGAGCAAAGCTAATACACATTCACTCCACCTTTCTACTCTGATGCAATGCATTCATTACAGATTCACGCTGGCAAGTTTTGCATTCATGCTTTTGCAGAGCCTGGCTCCAGCCGGTGCGTGGTGCTTCTTGCTGCTGCTGAATGTACCGAGGTTACGGGATTATTTGAAAGCCGGGAGCTCTGCTTGGGTAGCATACATCGAACAAGGAAGAACACATTCTTTTGGCAGTATAGTTCAGGTAGTTGAGTGGATTGTAGGAAGATATAAAAATATTTGCTCTGATATACATCATTTGGCCTAACCCAACTGCAGAACACCAGAGCTCTCGGCATAAACCACACAAGAAAAGCACCTAAGTATTATTGTTCCCAGTTTACGTTGAATTGGGAAGTTTAATAAATCACTTTAAGGTCACACAGAATCATAAAAGAACTGGGGACAGCAAAGTTGCTGGTCTTCCTCTTTAAGCAAAAGAACATCCATTCTTTAACTGTACACCATGAAAGAAAGGTTGAATTCTGTTTCAGATGGTTTCTCCAGAAAGTTATTGTTCAGCTGTACTTGTGGAACCTTGTAATCCCTGCTAATACAGTTTTTACTATCTCCTAGGTTCCTTGGGGGATTACAGAAATTGCTATTTTGCATTTTATTGATCAAAAAGAAAGAATATAAACATTTTAAGGAAAAAATTGTATTAAAATTCATTACAGTGCTCTGGACTAACCTTTAAAGGGAGATCCACAAGGGTCATATATTACATGGCAATGAATGAAGGGCCTATTACTCTGTAGTAAAGTCAGAGAAAAGAGGTTGGAAGAAACACTATCAAACTGAAACATTTTCCTGCCTTCCTATCTCCATTTGCTTGCACTTGTGTTAATTTGAAACAACTCTTTCTTTTCTCTTGGAAAGTGCACAGGGAGGAAGATTCAAGTGGACACAGGGAGTCTGCAAGAGGCCAGGATCAAGCTCCCAGCAATCTAGGCCCTGAATGTTGTCACAATAAATACTGCATGACACTATGAAGAATGGATAAGTACTGACAATTTTTAAAGCATTTACACTAGCTTTACTGGAGCCTTTTGTTTATCAGCCACTGCCAAGTTAGGACTCCTGTGGAACAGTCTAACCCCCTCTTTGCTCTTAAGTCACTTTGCGGTTTAACTCCTATGGAGAAGATAGCTTTATCTTAAATACACAGCGAGTCTCTCTTGGCAGGGCTTTTATCTGTGACTTGTGCAGGAAAAATTAGCTCCTGGGATTTCAAAAAAACACCAATTACTTTGACATCCCTTCAGATCATAAAAGCAAGCCCTACATTTTTATACATTAGAAATGTTTTTGTATAACCTGCAGTATAACCTTCAGAAGGGCTGTGCTTTTGTAAGGAACTTCCAAAGGAGTATGAATTTTGCCTTTGTCATCTTACATGAATTAAACATTCCCCTCCTTCTTCTTACAGACACTTGGTTTTCATTCCTGTTTTGTGCTTAGCTTCTAATCACTATTTTTAAATTGTGAAAATTTTAGACCAAAACTCTGCTGTGCTGTTCTGTTTTCCTAAAGTGCAGGTCTGTACAACTCAACCTCACCCTTAGATGTCACATCAACTTTGAGTGCACATTTGTAGATTCATTTAAGTCTAATGGAATCAGCTGCTTTGCAAACCAGTAAAGTGAAAGTTTTAGTTTCATTCCTGTGATGTCATTACAGAAGTGTGCCTACTTAATCTTAAAGACAGACACACATGGATACAGTATATGTCAGGCTGTTAATGATCACAGAATTCTCACAAGTATCACTACAATTGCTACGCACAAGATGTAGAATTCCTTAATTACTTGTGACATAGGTAGTGTTTACTAGACAAAAAATACAGCCTAAACAATCCATTCTAGAGCTTTCATAATCAACTATCAAAGTATATAAATCAGAAGACAAGGACCATATCTCTGTCTCAAAGGCAAAACTATTTGATTACATAGTAAAATGAAAAGGGAAAACAAAGGATTAATAAATTCTGTAAAGAAGTAAAACTCATGCAGAGAGGTAGTTGATATGACTTTTTTTTGGTATCATCTTTGCAACTATAATTAGGAAAAATATTAGGAGGTTAGGGAGACACTGCTTTTCAGCATCTTGGGAGCAAGAGAAAAGAATTTCAGGGAAAGCTGCAGTCCAGGTTACGAGAACAGCCATGTGCCTACATCAGAATTACCATATTAAGGCTGTTGTTACTAAATTTGATTGTCAAATCTTGGAAAGTATATGTTTTAGCCAATAAATTTTGTTTCCAAAAATGTTATAGATAACATCCTGAAGTTACATAAATCAGACAACAGAATAAAAACCCCTCACAGGTATGCACATGTTAAACATTTTTATCACTGCCATTATTTATGGCCTTGTATATATGATCATAAGTGGTCTTTTTCAGGTTGCTAAAACTGGATGTTCTGTACTTCACTGATTGATGACAAACTACACTGAAATATTTTATATGGATTTATTTCATTATTCCAGCTCAGTCCTCAATGGATTTTATGTATTTCTCATAGGCATCTTCATTCATCAGTTCATCAAGTTCAGCAGGTTTTTCCACAGTCATCTTGATAAGCCAGCCTGTAGTCAGAAAATTAAAAAGAAAATCAGTTGCTAATAGCCTACAAGAAAGTTTCATTCATGTTACTACTGCCTTAGAAAAGTACTCCCAGTAGGCATACAAGCCTTGCAACACTGGCAGAATCAAGAGAATTTCTTGTGCAGGCAAAACAATGTTTCGATACATTAAAAAATAAACCAAGAACCTGTCATGAGAAATGGCCTTTTGAGTCAGACCGGTTGTCTAATTTAGTTGTCTTTGACAGTGGCATTAGTGAGATGCCATCTAGAAAGAGTGAAAGAGCCTGACCTCTCAGTATCACGAGCTGTTACAAGATCAAAAGAGAGGTATAATCAAGGGAAACAGATTTAAATTCAACCACAGTCTAGGTCTGAAAAGAACACACTGTAAAACAGCTGTCAGCAAAGACAAGACTACAATAATACTTTCATGTTAAATTTTATTGGGCATGAACTATATTCAATATATTCCATTTAAGCCTCTGCACCATTAAACTGGAAGAACTAGGAATTGCAGTGCCATTTGTGATAGCAAGAATCCAGGTGGTATTCATTACTGAAATATAAAAATGACATCTTACCATCTTGATAACAAGATTTATTGACGAGCCCTGGATTATCTGCAAGGGCAGCATTAATCTCAGTCACTTCTCCTGAGAGAGGAGAGTAGAGTTCACTAGCAGCTTTCACACTTTCCAAAGCTCCAAACTCATCTGAAACACAGAATGGGATCGAACGCTTTTAAGAGGAAAAGACAAAGCATTCCAGTTTTTTTTAGTCATTCTGGTGATGACATAGCCATTGAAGAAGTGTCTTGATCTTGAGCAAGGAAAACTGTCAGAGATCAAAGTCATCAACTTTACAGCAACAATCAGCAGTGTGAAATTTGATGTTTATGCTCCCAAATTATTCTGAGGAACTTGTGTGACACTAGCTAGCTGGCTGCCACAGAAGGCACAGAAATTTGTGTTTGGCTAATGCCTCAGAGTGTATGATATGATGTGGGGTTGGAAGGAACCACATCCAGCTCTTGCTGCAAGAGAGCTAAATATGCCATTTATCTAAAATTTAAACCTTTTTTAATACTTAATTTGATTACAACATAGACACGGCCACACTTTCAGGAATCCCAGTTTTTCTTCAGAAACACTACCAAGTGTTACATTTGCACTCACTGGAAAACACACATTAGTATTCAGAAGCACCACACTGGAATCACCCAGCTGCTCTTCCCTTTTTCCTGTTTGGTAGGCAGTTATGGAAATGGTGCCTGAAGCAATGTTAGTCCAGAGTAACTCTATGCCACAAGCAAACAAGACAGAGGCTGGAGAAACACAGAGCTGTCAGAAGAGTAGAAAGGCATCAGGACAAGGAATAAAGAGAAGAACATGTTTTGGGAAAGCTTGGACTAAGGCCAGAAGGGGTAGAAAAGAGAAGAAATAAATGTAAACAAAATTCCTTCAGATAAAACTTCAAGTTAGTTAATTAAAACCCTAAACAGAAAGACCTTTTGTCTAACATTCACCATTGAATGCGGTGTAATAGATTTGGCCGGAACAGTTCGATATGGACCTATTCCACAAGAAGGATGGCAAAAGAAAGGCCTGCTACTTTACCTCAGCAGATCTACATTCTTGTTCTGCAGTGTCTGAAGCTAATGACAATCTTTTCTTCACATACTAGCGAGTCAGCTCTCCACGTAAAAACAGGAATAGGCTTTTCCTTTCTACCTGTTAATGCTCACTTTTCTTTAACATGGAAAATTACTGAATGATTAAGAATGTAACAAAACATTCTGTACATCACTAATGAGCAAAAAGCTATGATCACAGTTGATATCAAAACATTACTGATCCTGTATATTCATAGACAAATTAAGAGCTTGATATCAATTAGATGTTTCACATCATACAAGTCAGGAAACACGTAACTGCAGAATTACAAATAAGCCAGCCTAAATGTTAGCGAGTTCAAATCAAAGCACAAATATTTTTAAAACAGAGCATAGATAAAACTATTACAAAAAGATGCTTCAAATATCTGATCCTAAGTAAATGTATTCACTGTTTAATAAGCAGGTATTTTCTGATACCATGCATGGTCTGACAGTGAGAATTTGAAATTAAAGCCAGCTCTTGTAGAAATACATGAATTTATTTTGCATCCAGAAGATTATAATGGTATTAATGAACACAGAGATTACTTCATGTTCATTAATCTTTGCAAAGAGAGAGTGCGACAAGCAGAATAATTCATTAGAAATCAGAGCTGAAACTTACCATGCTGACTCAATTTTGTCCCAATTTCTGGAAGACTACAGTAAACAACATCTCCTAATGCTTCCTTAAAAGAAAAACAAAAGCATCAAAGCAAAGTTAAAGAAACTATACATAGGAGAGGTCCGATACAGTAACTCTAGAATCACTGTATATAAGTAATTGTTGTCTCTAAATTTAGTTCTCATTCCTTAAGGACTATACATTTTTCACTTTTTAAACATTTAACTTGAAAAAATTGTTTTGTTATCATGCCCCAAATGCCAAATTATTGTTTATCTATTACAGTGTTAATAACCCTCAGGTTGAGTTACAAGGTTTACATACAGATTTTTTCAGGCAGAATGAGAAGTAACATCTGCTGATATTCTGAGCATCAGCTAGTGTAACAACTGTTTTAAAGGACAAAGTTCTTAATTACTTGGTGGAATTATCTTTGTTACAAAGCATAGAGGATTTATGTCCAGTGCAATTTGAAAGAAAACACAATGATTCTTCCCGAGACACAGACAGCTCCAGAGCTGTTAGCATACAGTTTCTCCTTACTTAACGAGGAGCCTTATCACCGTAAGAATCGGCTCAACCAGAATAGGCTTCTGTCTCTTCACTGACAAATGTGCCCTATCTCACAAAAGACTGGGGATCTTACAGAGTATCAGTGTTATTTACAGAAAACTGAGATTAGAGGAAATGCTGCTTGTCCTAAGAAACATTAATTCCACTTCACTGATAGCTTCTCACATTAGATTTTAAATTTCACATACAGTGAATCTCTGTCCTCGATTTGCCTGGGACTATTCCAAACCAAGTACTTGCATGAAAAGAAAACAAAAAGTCCAAAGGAATTCCTATCCTAGATCTAGGTAGGAAATACATGCCATGTTGTACTTTTCTATTCACAACTGTTCTTCAGCCAGAGGGACTGCACTATATTCAAGTTCAAGGTAAATATGGCCTAGAAGTGCACAATACTGTCTTCACATAGCCACAAACTCCTTAGGCCTGTAAGAACTGAAGTAATAAAGGTTTTAAATTCTGCTGATCCATTAAGTTCATCAAGTTCTCATTAAGTCCTCATCAAGTTCAGCTCTCCTTAGGCTCAATCTGAAGTTACTAAGTCAGAATGCTGAAGCAGCGATCGCTTCATAAATAATGTGACAGATCCAAGTCCAAAAATCACACTCACTGTATAGCAAATGCAATCAGAACAATAAAAAAATGTAACTGTCCAAAGAGCAAGGACAAGAGCAGGTATGCATAAATAAATATTGCAGACTCGGATAAGGGGGAAGGAATCAATACCTGTGCAAAATTGCTGATTCCTACTGTTCCAACGCCATTTTCAACGGTTACCCATTCATGCTTGTCTGTGAATTTGCGGGCTAAAATGAAACAAAACTTGGTATTTCAGAAATAAGCGACATGTTGCTCACTTAAATACAGTGACACATTTGCAGAATTAAACTATGGGGTGTTTTTTTTTACTGAGGTTAGTTGTGTTAGTTTTGCTTGGAACATACTTTAAACACCAAATACAATTTATAGAAGCATTTTGTTCTGCTCATTACATGCTCAGTGAAACGGTAGAAGCTCACAAGGTGTTTGCTGAAAGTGTTACTAGTTCCTGTGCAATCCTCTAAGAGACTGATACAAAGTACAGGAGCAAAAGGAGTAGTTCTACTTCAAACAAAAGTATAAATCTAATGTATATATATGTACTTTACTCATAGTTATGTATTTCTATGATAGCACAGTGGCTTTTCAAACACACTTAGTGTTTGTTTCTGACAACCCCTTTATTATTCCTGGGAAGACCAGTGTTAATGGCTCGTTAAAAATACTGTCAGCTTTACAGAATCTCATTCAAAGTACTTAAATAGATCCATCAGTTGAAGTAAGACAGTTGCAATCTAGCTAGCAAAAGCGGCTGATCCCTTTACCTTCACCCGACATTTCCTATAGAGTCTCTTTCTCCCTGTTTACTGTTGTCACAGAGCTATGTAAAATTAAGGCAAATGAAGACAGAGCAAATTAATAAGGCAGTTCATACAGGCAACTGCTACTTAGGCAAATTTGCTCTCTTTAATACTGTTACTGCGAGAACACCACAGTAGTTTTATAATAAGCATATTTAAGACCCTGTTAAATCTTTTCACAGCAATCTTACAATTCTACATATATTTTAGATCTGTAAGATTCAGGGCATGCTTTTATTAGAAGCAATTCTTTTTATAAAGTCATATGGAGAAACTTCAAAAGAAGTAATTGAAACAGGCAACATTTTTCTTGATAACATTTTACCAGGAAATTTTCTTACTCTGAACATTTTCAGCCTGCTTAATCTGTTTTCTCACTTCCGCAGTTTCTCCATAGATACTTTCTTCCCTTTTTCCCCCATAGATACTTACTTCCTTTTTTTTTTAATTTAAAAAAACCCCACCCTTTTTAATTTTAATTTGTAGCACCTATCCAATCAAGCAACAGGTGTTCCAAAAACTGGAGAAGAATAAAGTTCCCTGTGTGATTAGTGCCAGAGTAGTACAGCTGGACACTACTTTTGAGTTTAAAGTTCTCCTCTCAGGCTCTTCCTCTAGGCTGGACTCCCTTATACACACTAGGGAAACTACACTTCTGCAAATTCTTATATATTTTCTAAACTTTTACATGAAGGAAAACAGAAGTTCTCGCTGTAGATCTGCTAAAGCCTTTCCCTTGTCAGTCAGCCATATTTAAGCTGGTTCAGTTGTAGTGATCCTCTTATTTATGTCTGAACACATGTAAGAGAAGCGAGTCTCAGATAAAATGGCTGGTCTTTGAAGAGGGCCTAAGCTTTATAGGCCTCTCAGTAGAGCAATACGTGTTTCTGCAAGTACAGGACACAAAAAGTTTTAAATAAAACATAAATATGAAGTATTTTTTCATGACTTATCACTCAAAAACATCCAGAGAATTTCAGCTAGCACTATTTATACCTACAAAAACCTTTCAAGATGCATTCTAATGAAAAGAAATGTTTTAAATCAATTTAGGTCAAGACATTAAACCCATAGGAATTTCATTAGAAATGAGCAATGAACCACGAGAACAGAGAATGACACAATCTCAAATCCAAGCTGGACATTTGTGACGTTATACATCAAAGAAGCCAACCAATACATTTTTATTTAGGATAGCAATACTTGTAAGATTTGTCTATAAAGCAGGGTCAAAAAAACCCCCAATATTTCATGATCAGTTTGGAACACAGCAGCAAGATATTCTCAACAGTCAGAAGAGCACATAAGCTTCTTGTAGGAGAAAAAAAGAAAAATGAAAAATTCTGACCATGCAACAAAAAACACTGCAAATAAAGTAAAGGTCAAATTAAAAAGAGTTAATAAGTAATCTCAGAATTTGAACTTTGAGCTTATGTGATCATCCCATTAAATAACGCAAATTACACTAATATGAAATGTCAAAGCACACCAAATGTCTTCTGTGAGCATTCTTTTTCAGAAGAGCAGCTAAATTTACTCTAGCTTCATTCATTTCAACACGACTTTGGCTACAGCTTAACTAGCACATTCTGAATTTAGACCATCATTTAGTTTAGCCTGCCTCTATTAAATATTTCATAAATATATACCTGAAGAGTGAAGGAAAACTCACACCTCCACAAAGAGGCATACAAAATTTTTCCTCTCTGCCTAAAATAAAAGCATAATTTATGTTAATCCTTCAAGTTATCTATAGAAAAACGATGGGTATATTAAACAAGTAGAATAGTGGAAAAAAGTGCTTAGATTTTGACTCACTAAGTTGCAAATAATTAATAAATGTTATTTCTTTCACTTGCAACAGAAGGCAGTTAAACAGTTAGGTTAAAAGACTCATCTAGAAGGAAATTCACGACCTCTTCTTAGTGACCATCATTACTTTTAGAGCACATTCTCCTCCTCTCCCACCTTTTCAACTTTTCTGTTTGCTAGAGTACCACAGATTGCGTTTTTCAAACTTCTGTGACTAACGGTCATTCAAACAGAGCTTCGACAGCTGCAGATACTTTCCAAATTAACTACACTCAGTGCAAAATCACATCCAGCACTGATGTGTAAGTCCATCTCCTGCCTCACCACTTCTGCAGCTACACTGCACAGGAGCTGGTGAGACGGAGCCAAACATCTTTAGCCCGAACAGGCGCAAGGCCCTGGAAATCTGGCTCAGGCTCCCTGGCAGCCCACGCCAGTCTAACTGCTGCAGGCCTGCCTCCTCCAGCCACCCATTTTTGCCCCTTTCTTGTACTGCTGCTGATGCTCCTTGGAGCTATCAACAAGCTGTTGCAGCACGACGATCCTAGGAAAAGCTATCTGCTTTTTTTTTTTTTTTTTTCCTT